TTCAGCTGTGAGAAAGGTAATTTAGAAGAAATCCAGCAAGATACCTTAGATAACCTCTGAAACAGTAGAAGTAATTATGATAGAATTAAAAATTTAAATATTTTAGCATTTTATTTCAGTAACCTACCAAAACAAAATTTTTCATATTATGCAGTAGTTCGGGGTAAAACACCTGAAATTTATTCCAAATGGATTTCAGTAGTAGAACAAATTAAAGATTTTCAAAATCCTTTGTGGAAAGCTTTTCATAACATCCATAAAGCCTTGGATTTTGCTAAAAAAAATATTGGCATCAGTTTTCATGTAGATAGCAAAGCAAGTATGGATAGCATGAAGGTGCCAATGCAATCTTGTACAGAAGCTCCTAGTAGCAGGAATAGTGGTAGAAGTTATTCTGATTCAGTAGCATATGATAATACTCATAGCATTCAATTTTGTAGATATTGTAAGGTTATGAAATAAGCAATTAGAAGCTTAAATCTTAAATCTAGAAATCTAGAAGAAGAAAATAAAAATTTAAAAGAAAAAGCTTACTCTCTGACATGGCAGCTCAAAGAAATGTGTAAAATATCTGGATCACAAAGTGATACAATAATTTCAGAAATTTCTGAAATAGGGGAGCTACAAGGAAGACTGTCTCATACAGTATCACAAATGGCCAGTTCTTCATCCGGTCCAGCAAAAGAGATTTTTATAAAAGAACAGTCCATTTCAAATAGACCCTTTGAGTTTTTTCGGCCCAGGATGTTTTTCAGACCTGATTCTTTATTAGAATCTTTCCCTTTATCAATCATAGAAATTATCAGCCAAAAAGTGCAAGCCCAGCACTTAGCAAAATTAGAAACAGTACAAAAATATTTCAAAGAAATAGCAACTAAACCCAATACCAAATACAGCCTTAACATCAGTCCATCTTACAGGATAAACCCACAAAAGATGCCCAAATAATCCAGAACCTTGTGACCACAAAAAATACAGAAACCATTGAGTTTGTTTGGACAAGCCAAATTTGGTTTGTTTAATTTGTTTTCACAAATCCCAATCACCTTTTTATCTTCCCAATCACCTTTTTATCTCACATACATCACATCACAAAAAGTGTTACAGTAAATATCTCAAATAAATCATCCAAATAAACTCTTATCCAAACAAACTCATTGTATACATACACTTGATTTTCTCATACTCAAAGCATCCATCAAACTACATAGATATACTCCAGTGGCCCTTATGGTCAATCAAGAAAGAATAGTTCTTACACCACAGTTCTTAGTGGATTGTGGATTCTTAAAAGAATTTTGAATTTCTAATCCGGATGACTCATATCAGTTAGGAACAAGCTTAGCATATTTTTGTAGACAAATGCTAAATTATGGACAATGAGTTCAAGTAAAAATTAAATCAGCACCAGCAGAATGGATTGGACTCATTGATTTAGAACCAACAATTCATAGAATAAAGATTCAAGTTAGCAATGTTTATCCAACTCCACCATCATCAGCAAGAATAATATTAGCAGAATGCCCCCTAACACTTGAGGAACAACTTCGGAATTCAAAGGCTATGCATTTAGCCTATAGACATTTTAAATCCGGATGGTCATACTTCAGATTGGCAGCAGAAAACAAAATTCAAAAGATCTACACTCCCTACCGATACAATCTGGAAAAAGACTTCACAGTCCAAACAACCTATCCAGAACTATTCCAGCATTACTTAAATGATTATATGGGAGAAAGGGGAGCTTAGCCTAAAGAAGTTGAAGAAGAACAAGAAGACAATGATCATTATTGGCAAAACATGGGACCAGAAGAACTCCACAACATCGAGAATATGATGGAAGGATAATAGGACCCGGACACATTATTGTACATACCTTACAGTTGAAAGCACTAGCTTTTTGACATAGCTTTTTGAAAATTTTAGCCATTGTCGGCCTCATAGCTTTTTGACATAGTTTTTTTGAAAATTTTGGCCATTGTGGGCCTCATAGACTAGACACCGGATTCCAACTAAGTTGAAATCCACAAAAATAATTAGGAAACACAAGTTCGGATTTCAAATCTGAACAACGAGCCTATAAAAGCACCAGTTTCAAACCATTGTTGGGTACGATGCTTTCATAACTTGTAAATTACAAAGGATTCCATATATTCAGCTCTAAACACTTTTTGCAAGCTTAATCTTTCAAATCATCTTATTGAGAGGAAAGGAAAACATAGAATAGAAATTAGTACAGCCTACCATAGCTTTAATCCAAATAACCGAAAACTTTGATAGAGAGATCCTATTTTGGAGTTTTAAAAGTCTAAAAGACGGTGTAGTACCCATCCTAGCCGTTCGATCAAGAGTATTGCAAGGCGTAAGGGGAAGATCTGGTGAGGCAAACCTCCAAAAACAGGACTCCAACTCTCATAGCATCAGAAGGAAACTTTGGAATAAAAGCAGGCAAGGTATAATTTCTGTAACCTCTATCAAGTACCGAGTACTCATATAATTTTTGAACCAAGTACTCATATAGTTTATAATTTCTGCATATAAACTCTGTATGAATTTTGAACCACCTTTCCAATTCACAACTACTCAAGAAAATTCATATAGAATAGCATTAGCAACTCTTAAACAATCAGATACATATTATTATTTTGATAAAAATTTAGAAGATCTAGACATATCAAATCAGTGTTTAGCATATATAAAAATAGAAGAATCTAGATTAATAAAAGTAGCACATCACCATCCCTCATCATTTCTCAGAAATGTTAGACAAGCAAAAGTAGATTTACTTTAGCACAGATATTCTGAATTAAATATAATTATATTTAACTAAATAATTATAATATATATTTATATAATATACTAATATTATAATAAAATATTATAATTATAATATATTATATATATGTATATAGTATAATATAAATGTAATTATAAATATATAATTATATAATATATATAAATATTAATTATTCTAATATTATATAATTATAAGATTTGGGAATCAGACTTGGGTTTTGGACAAAACCCACCAACTTACTAAGGAATGGAGGAATGCTAAATTTTTAGACATCATTTCAAAATTTCAATTCCGATAGTAGTGAACCAAACATGAATCATGGGATTTATTCCATAACTTCATTCCAAAATCATGGGATTTATTCCCAAACGGCCCAAGAAATTATTATGCTGATCTGTTCAGTTGGCTGCTTGCTTCTTTAAACCCATGCAGGATCAATCCCATCTACCCTTCAATGTCACATAAGCATCAGAAACTATAACTTTTTGTTTGTTTGACTGCATGCAAGATTAATCCCTGCTACCTTTCAACATCATAGGGCTGAATCTAGGAGGCTTTAACTTTTCAATTAGTAAAGATCCAATTTTATGGGCTTCTCTAGTTGAAAAAGGAATAAGAGGCTTTTTTTTTTTTTTGCTTTATCCTGTGACCATGGCCTTTATTGTGACAGTCTTCCACAACATAGCTTAAAGGACTTCTAACAGAATTCAATTGCTTGAGATGCAAACGGCATTAACAACTAATTTCTTAATAGACTTACCAATTTCTCATAAAAGCTCATTCGAGATCAACAATGAACAAGTTTCTTTCTCGTGTTAAGATTTAGTTGACAATTGTTTTAAATGCAAAACTCATACTTTTCAAATATAAATAAACCATAATAAGTACAAATCTCTTGAAATGCCTAGACTCAGAGCACTTTCTTAACAAAAGATGGGTAATAACTGTAGAACTCCATAAGATTGAATCTTCTTAGTTCAATGTTTTCTCCAAAACTACTATTTCACATATATATTTTGTTTTGCAAAAAGTTCACGAGAAGACTATAAGAAAGGAATGACCTATGCAACGTAGATGAGATGCCCAAGTGATTTTTAGCTTTCTTCAACCTTCTTATTGGCTCACAATAACTATTAGGAATTCAGAAATTATTATGCTGATCCATCTTATGTAATTCAAACCTATATAGGCCTGGTCACACATTCAGAATAATACTTTTCAACTGTCAATGCATTTTTCTATTGCTTCTTTTTATTTAACAGAGGTTTTCAGTTTTTTTTTTTTGTTTTTGGCACCAGGGGGAGGGGGGGCAAAGGGAAATTGGTTATATACATGCTACATGAACTAGCGAATTAGCTAAGATAAAGAACAAGGCTAAGAAAGCATTTTACATGACCCTTCCAGCCACAAAAGTCATATGATAACTAATTAATTTCAAGCTTCAAAAGCACCTCTTTAGTGAAAATCTCGTGTTTACCATGTTTGGAATGAAAACTGGGCTTGGGCCAAAAAAAAAAAAACCACATTTTATCTCTAAAATAAAACTAGGTTGAGATAGATTTGGACATTTATTCAATGAAATATCCGCATGTACATTTATTCAATGAGGGCCAGTTTTTGTAATAATGTTAATGGAATTTGTTTCCATTCTAATGTTTGAAAGCCATTTTAGTAGATACTAAGAAAGGAAAAAGCTTCAAATCTGACATGTTGCACCTTAATATTTTTTTCCAGTAATTTTGAAAGGAAGAGCGGCCAAAAGATAATTGCATTACTTAATTTTTCTGAAAAGAAGAAGTTGTGATAACAAAACTACTAGCTAGAATGACATGCATGCTTTCATTGGTATTACTTGAATCATTTGTTTTACACGTGTAATTACTTCACTATGTCAAGTGAAGAAGTGAATATTTGTCTACTCATGCATGTAAATCAATAAACACCTACTAGCCTTATAGAACAAAAAGTAACTTCAAGTATACATGACAAAAGGTTCAAATAATAAAGCCATAGGATAAGAAACATAAATGTAGAATACCATACATGAGGTGTTCCAAGCTAACCATCAATATGGTATGGTTGAGAATATTAGAGCAATTTTGGAATTGCAAAAACAATATATTAAAAGAAGATCAGAAATTAAACTAGAGGACAAAGAAAGAGATCAAACTTGATTCGAGATAAGAAATTGAAAAACACAAACCTTAATATACAAGCATTCACGATGAAATGCAGATGGACAATCGTCGACGATTAAGTCACCATCATTTTACTACAGCATCCACAATAATCATCTCCATCATCTACCTCTTCATTTTGATCTGTGACACAAGCACCTTTCTTGGCCTTGTATTCAGCTGACCAAGCCTCGAGCTGACACAAAGCAAATGGCTTCCCCGATTCCATGAAAAGATTTAAGCAAGCACGGTTAACCTTGAAACCAACATGTCTCTTAAACTCAAAGAGTGAAACCACCTTATTGCAGCACTTGCAAAATATTCCACCCAAAGTTATAACACCTTCTTTTACCACAATATTAGTCTTACGAACATGAAACTGGATCACATCACCAAGGGAAATGCATCCTAAACGAAGTAACCAGGACAACACTGTTCTTTGTCCACCACCTCTTCCAGGACTCTGAAGAGGCAAATTGCAACTACCCATTTAGTTCTTTCTCTTACTTGGACGTTCTGATCTATGGATTGACCTTTTGCAGGTAGACATAAATCTTTTGCATTTCAAAATTGCAGAAACCAAAAGATCGTCATCCTTGAACTCACATGTCAACAATTTTCCTAATCCACTTTGCTCATGGTTCTTGTCATGAAAATTTTTTGGTACTTCTAAAAATGAATCGCAGCTTTTCCCATCCATATCAATATTATTCTCCATCAATAAAGTAAAATCTTTAGAACCTCCTTGTTTTCCAGTAAAATCCTCTATGCTGCTAACAAGATACTCTTTAGTCTTGACTCATTAATGCTAGAATGAGTTGTTTTCATGAACCACAGTTCAAGTTTGAACACATTCGTTATTTGTGCTGCAATAGGAAAGAAGCATAAGACATACTTTGTGGAAATGAGCTGCTTAAGAAAAAAGCTATTAATCCTTCCAGACTTTTATGAACTCTATTATTCTCCCAACTATGGGAGCTTTCACTAAAACTTCCCAGTATCATGTTTCCTTACTGGGATGTTGCCATCTGATAACCAAACAATTTCCACTGCAGAGGGGAGAAAAAGAGAGGAGAAGAAGCACAATTTGCCTATTGCATATCTTAAATAAAATCAAGAAGCACTTCAAAACAGAAAGAAACCAAATCATCCAGAATGGAGACCGAAGTAAAACAAAGAAAGGCTTTTACTACATATGTACATTAGAGTGCTTGCAATGGTGTGTGGTTGCCTGTATGCACACACAAGCTCATAAAGCATGTGTCTGCTTTTGTGGGTGTGTGTGTCTGTGTGTAACACACACAGAGAGAGAGAGAGAGAGAGAGAGAGTGAGCTAGTAAACTAAAAGTTTAACATTAAAGAGAACTGAACTACCAAAATTGAACTTACCTAACCAAAGCACCAACAACAAATTAAGCTAATTTAATTGTTTTAGAAGCAGAAATATTGTGAAAAATTGATAGACATATATATACTTGTAAATACACTATCAGAGAGAGAAAGGGGAGGGTAGGGGCAGCAATCTACAAAAATTATATCTTTGCAATTTAAGAAAGAAAATCCAAACGACTCTCCTCTATTCCCTTTTTGAAAAGAACTCAGATGACTTTCAACATTCTAAATAAAGATTTTGTGAACAACAACGAACACTGAAATTCAATCATGATGATTTTAACTTTCTTAAGAGTCTAACATTGATAACTTACTTTGAACCTTTACCGTTTCAATAAATTCTTGCTATGAAAACTAGTGGAAATCCCAGATCTACAATTAAGTTGGATTTTCTATCAGTTTGATGATCTTCAATTAGATGAAAACTTTGTAGGAAAAGAAAGAAAGCGGTGCCGCAGAGAAGGAGAGAGAGATAGACTATGGCCCTAGAAGTTAAAAATTCTTTAATTAGTTGTACAGATGTGTAATTCAGTGAATAAAGAGAGTTATCAAGTTGCCTTTTTAGCTTTTAGGAAACAAAAGCTTGTATATACTGTATTCACACTTCTGGCAAACTCATTATGGTTCTTTATCTTAGAGATAGGATTCTGACGTTAATGACTTCTATCTTTGTGATACCACTAAGTGATGAAATCAATGTCAAGGGCCAAATGTTTTCCTTTCCTCTTTTTGCTCCTATCTTCTTTTTGTGCGATAAAAAATTCAGTGTGTGCCCGACCATATCCAACTTTATATGTTGTACCAGTTGGGAGCTTCTATAGGGCAATGCATATTGGAGTCTAGCAAGCATCTTTTATTAAGAGCTAATTAAAAAAAAGGGCCAACAAATATTTTAACCAAAGAAAAGAACCTAATTGGTCAAAAGGAAGAAGCAAAAACAAAGACGAATCTAATTGTCCAAAATGTCACTATGAAGATTATAATTTCTACTCTCAATCTGGGAAAACTTACTTATTGTTGCTTTTAATGATCACTCAATCCTCTCTTATCTACCTCCAAAGTGCACTTTCTAAATTCTTTCAAATACAGCATGTCAGCTATCCTTAATGTGTCTTTGCTAGTGCAACAAATAAGTAGCAAAAGTCTATGCACTTAATCCAATTTCGTGGTACTAACCAATGTTCCCAACTTCTCAGTAGAAATGCCAATAAGCTAAGCAAATTTTATGATCTGTTACAATTCCAAAGGGTGGAGAAAAATATTGATGGCATCCAAAAGCCTATTTCCTCCATTCCCTATTAAGACTACTTATCTTGTCATACAACCTGAATTCAATGAATACCTGATGGTTCAATTACTCAACAGATAGAAATTTTTAGTCAATTTCAAATCCCCCCAGGTACCATTTACATTAATTACCAAAAATCTATTATGCTCTTCACAGCCAAAAAAGAAACTATTCAAAGAAAGAAGAACCCTTTCCCCTCAATCCAATAAAGAGATTACATACTGGAACCAAAGTAAAGTAAAAGAAAAAGTCAACTTTCACAACAATTCAAATGAGCACAAAAAGCTACTAGTGTACACAACTAGCATACAAAATACCATAAATACCAAAATTTCCACACATTGATGTATGTGTGTGCGTCTAAAATAAAATAAATAAAAAAAACTTCAGTTGAATAGTAACAAAGTATACCAACGATTATCTAATGATCAATGGAAAACCAAGTCTGGCCGATGCGAGGCGGCATCCGGTGGATCTAAACCCAGTTTAAATCCCCATAAAGCACATAAATTTATGCATCTATCTGTTCCACTCGATGAGTTCCCAATAGCTCCACCATCCTTGGCTTCTGACTACTGCAGTTGCTAGTTCTACTACTCCTACTGATTTTTCCGTCCAAGCCAACAAAAATTGAACTAGGCTTAATCCAAATGTATTTGTACTCCAAATCCTGCTTGCAAATCGCGATGAAACCCATTACGAAGGCGGCAAAGATATGAAGGAAAGAGATATTTAGGGGCCTTAGATCAGGCTGAACAGTAGACAATTTTGGAGACAAAGCCATGGCTAAAAAGTTTTGTGGGAAGAAAAACAAAAACTTTGCCTCCTTTGTCTTTTTCCGATGACTGAGAAACTCAGACTTTTTCGTTACTAAAGTTGACCTCCTTTGTCAATTAAGGGAATTGTGACCAAAGAAAAGTGAAAAGGAGTTAGACACTGAGATTCAATTATGCGTTTTTCGTGGGTTTTCTGCCAGGTATTAAGAAGGCTGCAAAGTTTGGTTCTTACGGAAAAAAAGGGTTAATTACATTTACCTCCCTTAAGATTTGACCAAATAACAAATCGATTCCTGAAATTTGGATAAATAACAAATAACTCTCCCACGTTAAGTTTGTCAGTTATATGGAACGGAAATAGCCAAAAGTCTGAATAACCCTTATTGATTTCCATCAAATTTTAAAGACATAAAAATAGAAATATGTATTTATCATTTTAGCCTTTAGGCGGGAAACAATACAAATAGCGACTTTATCACTTCAACCCTCACAATTCCATCATCAGATTATCGTACTACACTCTTACTGTTCTTGAACTCTCTTTCCATGAAATTTTATCTTTCTCTGGTTGCTTAATCCTTAAATCACCAAGATAAAACTCAAAAACTGCAGTGCGTTGTCTACAGATCAAACATATTGTGGCTGGAGAAATTTTTCACAACAAAGGCTGTAGGGTCGGAAAGCTATTGGAGGCCCAAGCATGGTACTATGTTCAAGTGAGGCACAGAGCATTTTTAGAGAGAGAAAGAAGACAGAGCATTTCTTCTCTACGGCAGCCTCCACTCGTTTGCTTCAACCATGAAGTTCAACATCGTGAATCCCACCACAGGATGCCAGAAAAAGCTTGAAATTGACGATGACCAAAAACTTCGCATATTTTGGGACAAGAGGATCTCACAAGAAGTCAGTGGCGATGCCCTTGGCGATGAGTTCAAGGGGTATGTTTGTTAGCCCCGACCTCTCTGTCCTGAACTTGGTCATTGTCAAGAAGGGTGAAAATGACCTACCTGGACTCACTATATTGAGAAGCCAAGGATGAGAGGTCCAAAGAGGGCTTCGAAAATCAGAAAGTTCTTCAATCTGTCAAAAGAAGATGATGTCAGGAAATATACTGGAGGACTTTCACAACAAAGGCTGGTAAAAAGGTTAGCAAAGCTCCCAAGATTCAGGGGTTGGTTACCCCATTGACACTCCAGAGAAAGAGAGCAAGAATTGCTCATGAGTAGAAGAAGATTGCAAAGGCTAAGTCTGAAGCAGCTGAGTATCAAAAGCTTCTTGCTACCAGGCTGAAGCTGCTTTTGTCGGAACCCGAGGGAATGCTTGGTTTCATTGGTGCATTGTCCTAGTAATTTACAATAGAGCATACATTCCTTAGTGAATGGAGAAAGGTAGGTTGCAGAACTTGTCTGTAAACCCCATCCTTCCAAAGCAGTTTTGGGTTTGTTTCTTTTTGTCGGCAGTGTTTCTTTTTGCCAATTGACCGAGGCTAGCTAGTTCTGCGGCTTTGTTGTGGTTGCCACGAGTGTGTCTAGGGAAGTCGGAATTTTTTTCAAGGCTTCTGTAATTGATTTCTTCCGCAGACTATACGAGATCTTGTGTATTGCAGCCTAAGTTACGAACTCGAATTTGTTAATGTGGAACATTTTATTTTCTAAAAAAAAAAAGGTGTAGTTTTTGGGTGATTTTGCAGGCATGGTGTAGATGATGTAGCGGCAAGTTGATTTTTACGTAAATAGCTTGATTCTCTCAGAGTTTTGTTGCTTTTGTTCTCTTGAAATTTTTGGTCGTTAAACTTAAGGAAAAATGGGGAAGTCTTTTTCTTCTCTGTTTGTGTACAGATAAAGGTAGGCAATGGGGAAGTCTTTTTCTTCTCTCTTTTTGTACACATAAAAGTAGGCAAGTCAAACGTGATTGGGATATGAATGATAAAGAATTATAATCCCAATATTATATATATGTTTAATGAAAAGGATATTTTCGGAACTATTATTAATCTTGATGACAATTGGATACAATTTGGGCAATTTCATCATTCCAAGTTTTCTTTTTTCTGCTGTCAAATAATTACTAACGTCTCTTAATGGCAAGTGGGTAATTGTTAAATGTCTGGTTATTCAAAGGGGTGGACTGTTATTTGTCCAAATCTCAGAGATCGATTTGTTATTTGGTCAAACCTCGAGGAAGGTAAATGTAATTAACCCTACAAAAAATATGTGATATGGCTGTGTGTGTTTCTTGGTGTGCTAGTGCGTGCTATGATTGAAAAGGTTGAACTATTTTTTCTGTTATTGTTAGTTAGGAGTTAGGAGTGGTTAACAGATTTATTGAAAAAAAAATTTTCCATGTAGCCTCTAAATTTTTATTTTTGTTCTTTTTTTGAAAAAAACTTTTAAACTTAGATTTGCTTTAAAGTGATAAGAATAGTTTTTTCTTTTAATTTTACCTTTTAATAAATTGTCATGGCAAATACTATTGAGAGAAAGCGTTTTATTACAAAGTTAGGCATATACATAATAATTTCTTGAGATTTTATAGAATCATTGACTTTTATTTTTATAAACCATCAATCAATTTTCGTAAGATTCGATATAGATTAAACACTTCTTCTTCACAAAATTGGGAAGATAATCACTATAACAAAGTACATCTTCCAAGTTCCAATTTGAGGTAATTAAACAAATTTAAAAAATTTAGTGACAATCAAAAAATGGGATAATACTCCTTTTCTTTGATTATGACTTGAAAAAAGTTTGGTCCTGCTAATACATTCTAATACATTATCAACATAAGTAGAATAAGAGCCGAAGAGCTCTTCTGACGTGGATGTTTTCGTCGTCCTCTCACGTGCGCTGTGCGTGGTTCCTGACGACGTCGTTTGGTGTTGTTCGCCTCTTTTCGCTGGTGGTTTAGCATTGTTGTCTTCTTCCATGACGTTCGCCACTGTTGTATATCAGAAAGGCTGTCTGCACTTGGTCACTCCCATTTCACTAATCCAGCTAGCCTTCGTCCTGTCTGCCCTTGGTCGCTCCCATTTCACTAATCCAGCTAGCCTTCGTCCTCATCTAATAACTGTACTACTTTTGCTTTTACTCTTCAGCCTTTTTTCAGCTTTTCAGCCGGAGCATTAATGGGTTCGAGCTTATTCTCCCAGCATTATTCTCTTCGGCCTTTTATTACTCTCCTAGCATTATTCGCCTTGCTGCTTTCTCTCCCAGGTTTTCTTCCTTTTCTTCCTTTTCCTCTGTTCATCATTAGCTCTATTGGTGGTTGGGTCTGCTTACCTATTCCCCCGGCTTTACCAAGCTAATTTTTAGTCTTATTTTTTTCTAATAACTTGAGTGCTGTTGCAGGGTAAAGGACATTATTATTTTGCTTCTGAGAGATTCGTCCCCCGTTGTTGAAAGGTGCTCTGTTTTTCTACATTTTTCACCGGTACTCCTTTTTTGCGTAGCTCGTTTCTTCATAGACTGTGTGTTTTTTACGATTTTTTTTTTGTGTTGCTGAGGTATATTTTACCTTGTTCTTGGCTTCTACGTAGTTCCTTTTTTCCCCTTTTATGCTTGTTGTACCTTTGTTTACTGCTTGGGTTTTTTTTTGCCTTGTTCTTCGCTTTTACATATTTTCCTTTTTTCCCTTCATTTTTTCCTTTTATCTGTTATCTCTTTTCTTTGTTCTTTTACTTCCTCTCCCTCTTGTTTGGATTTCTATTTTGGTTAGTGTATTTTTTCTATTTGATTTTAGAGCTGTTGGTTGAGTGATGGCGTGCATTATTATTTTGCATAGGTTAGATCCGGAAAAAAAATGGATTAATAAAAGACTAGCTGCAGATAATGTAGAACTGGTCTATCACAGGGGAAAAAAAAGAAAAACCCATCCCCTGTTAAACTCCCTGCTGTTTGAAGTTGGAGAATGTTTAATATGGCTGAATATGCCTGTTTGTCTTAAGACTTGGAATTAAACAACAAAAAAAAAACCATCTGCTGTTAAACTCCCTGCTATTTGAAGTTGCAGAATGCTTAGTATGGCTGAATATGCCTGTTTGTCTTAAGACTCATCCCCAAATTTTGCTGATTATGGTAAACGAATCATCATTTAAGATAGGCAAACCCAATCTGGTGTGGTTCGTTTAACTGCTGGTTGTAACCTGTTATTGTACTTTGATTGCCTTTTCCCCTGTTTACCTTTTAGTTCTATTTTTATTGCCTCATGGTTTCCTCGAATGCCTACATTTATGATGCCATTTAATTTTCTTCATTGCTCTTACATATTTTCCTTTTTTCCCTTCATTTTTTCCTATTATCTTTTTTTTCTTTTTTCTTTGTTCTTTTACTTCCTCTCCCTCTTGTTTGGATTTTTGCAGATAATGTAGAACTGGTCCCCTGTTAAACTCCCGCTATTTGAAGTTGGAGAATGTTTAATATGGCTGAATATGCCTGTTTGTCTTAAGACTTGGAACCAA